TTTATTGTAGATGTGTTTCCCGAAGTGCTTCTTTAGTGATGCTGCCAAAGAACTATCCCATAGACCTAGTGCAATCTGCAGTTTAAGTCCCTTCAATAGCTTCCCTTTTTCTCATGAATAAATTCCATATTTCTAGAGATGATATTTAGTCTTTCATTATCAGATTAAGTTGTCTCTTATGCTCTTTTCTCATAATGTCTTTTTTTATGCTATATTCCATCAGATCTGTATTGTGCAACCCAATCTGGACATAATCTATGTTTTAGGGTGTTTTACCTCTTTGTACTGGGTTCCCCCAGACTTTTAAGGTTTTATCCAGCTATTTGTCTGTAGGAATTTTCATCCATCATACTCCAGTCACTTCTATACAAATGCCAGGGAGTCTGAAAATTAACAGTAACTCACCTCCCTTCATGATTCCTGAACACTTTATTTTGCTTCAATAATTACACAGTCTGTGAAGTATATAGAGTTTTCTATAAATGTTTTTTCTTCCCATATTTAAGTATAATCTGAGAGTAGAGGCTATATTTGTTACCTGTATCATAACCACAAGGCTTAGCATAATGCCTGGTACAGATGATTGATAAACTTTTGTAGCATCTTATTGATATTCAATCAATACTTCAAGTTCATACATACTTCCTATGATTTGCTCTATTTTTTAAAAAATAAATTAATTAATTGAAACAAGCAGAATACAGATAAATATTATTCCATTCAGTACTCTGCAACATCTATGCAAAATTTTGTCCTGGCATCCTGACCATCTGCTTTTCCATCTTCTCCATTTCAGTCGTGCACTGGGAACAATAATATTCATAGAGACAACTGCAGGAGAAGATTCTTTGGGAATGATTCTGTTAAAAATTCATCAACTCAAATGAAGAATGAAAAGTGAAATGAAACATTGTAAAAATATCTCTATAACAGTATATGAAATATAATTTTCTATGTAAAATCATTAGTCTTAAAAGGTACTTAGACAATAAGATAGATTAAAATTTTGCCCCACAGCTAATTAGATCCAGGAAGACTCTAGAAAACACTATCTCCATTCTATTTTTCTACAGGACAGTATAATGTGTGAGTATATACACAATTCTATAAGAAAGTTGAATTCTTGATAGCAGACACAAATTAAGATCTAGAGTCTCCTATTTGTTTAAAGAGTGTGTTTCTGGAGTTGAGTTATCAAAGTGGTTCAATATTATGCTTAGAATATTTTTAAGCTTTTACCGTTTTTACCAATTTATCAACTTAGAAAGTTTATCAATGTTCAAATTAATCTGGGTGATAAACAAAAATTTTAGGACTTTTTTCTGAAATTTTTGGTCAGATGGAAGTTTACTGATGATGTCAAGAAAAGTTTATTCATATGTTTACCTGATATTTATTCAGTTTTCATGCAATCTTGAACTGATAAAACAAGAGAAGCATGGCAATTGATCTCATAGGACAGAGCATTTATTGGGGAAATGAACACTTAAAAATGAATACATACAGGAACACACACACACACAGACACATGAGTTGGAGAGACACAGAGAGAAAGAGAAAGAGTGGGAGATGCAAAGGAAAATCTGAGGTGAGGTGGGAAAGAACAGGTGCTAGTGTCTTCTGAAATGCTTGGTTTTCTGAAAGACCTAGAAGTAAAGGTCACATGACCCCCTCATCCTCACACTTGCACTTCTCCCTCCACATCAGTTTTTATAAATCAAATCCTTAACTTCTCTGCTTCAAATGCATTAACAGATTTATCATGCACTTGAAAAGAGCTACCAAAGCCATCATGATAGCCTGGGTAGCCTCAAGTGCTCTGCCTTCTATCCTTTCTCTCATCCTCTTCAGACATGTTATCATCTGTCACCAACTAGAGCCTCCAAACTTTTTCTCATCTCAAGACATTTACATCTTATTTATCCTATGCCAAGAATACTTGAGTAAGTTTAATCATTTATAAAAAGAATGAAATAATCATTACCAACAAAAGCAGAACTTCTAAAGGTAGAAACATATTTCTTGAAATTCGTGCATGAGAGCATGACATTGTTGATTATTTTATTTTTGCAGTACTAGGGTTTGAATTCAGGGCCTCACACTTGATAGTTAGGCTCTCTACCACTTGTTTGTTGATAACTTTATAATGACACAGTCTACCCAGATATATATCAAAATGTCAATGAGTAAACATACAGTTCCCCCAATTTTTACATTTAATGAAGTAAGGTCAATTGTACTTTGTAGAAAAATATTTACATTTCCCCTAAAATTAAATTTTTATGATGAAATATAATTTTGTCACAAAATTTTTCAGATATCAAAGGCCATATATTTGGGAAAAATCAATTAAGAAAGTATATTGAAATTTGGAGGCTAGACATATCTGATCGTACAAAATGAGCTGCTATTAAGACTGTCTTTATCAATGTATTAAGACTGTCTTCATCAATAAAATTGAGGTTAAGTTTCACCAAATCAGATTGCATAACTTAGTTCTATAATACCATCCTGTGGAAATTGTTTAATGTCTTTTTATGATATGGAAAGAGTTGAAAGGTTGTTTTTCTTTGCTATGATTATTATTGAGTAAAGATCAAAAGAAAGCTTCAAGGTGTAAAATGAGGACCATATGGTACTGGCAAGGACAGGTTTGTTTTCCTGTTAGTTGTTAAACTGTCAGGTGGATTTTCAAGATTCTGTACTGTATCTCCCTGTGAAGTTTAGGACAGAAATACATCTTTATGAGATAAGTCATAAATATTTTTATCTAAAGATCTATCACCAAATTCTTAGTGCCTATAAATGTTAAAACCAACAAAAACTGTTACTGTCACATTCTGATATTAAGACTTTGGTTCAGATTCATTGATTCAAATATAAAAAAACAGATCATGGATACCCACTGTACTAACTCAAAATGGATTAAAAACTACATCTTAAGACTTGTGTTCTTGTTAGAAGAACACATAGAGAAAAAGCTCCATAGCGTGAGTCTTGGCAATATTTTTTTGAATATGGCCTCAAAAGCACAAGCAATAAAAGCAAAAACAAAGCAGGTAGAATTACATCCAACTGAAAAGTTCTGCATAGTGAAAAGAAACAGTCAATACAATGAAAAAGCAATCTATGAAACAGAGAAATATTTACAAACAGTACATATCCAATAATAGATTAATATCTACAATTTATAAGAAACTCACACAACTTAGATGCAAAGATGTCATTGGCTTGCATCTGTAATCCTAGCTATTTGGGAGGCTGAGATCAGGAGGGTCATGATTTAAAAACAGCCCAGGTAAATAGTTCAAGAGACCCCATCTCCAAAAGTAACCAGAGCAGGAAGGATTGAAGGTGTGTTTCAAGTGGTAGACCACCTGCTTTGCAAGCGCAAAGCCATGAGTTCACACCCCAGCCCCACCAATAAACAAACAAAGCAACCTCCACATATAAATAACCTGATTAAAATATTGACAAAGGACTTGAATGGCCATAAAATGGTCATTAGATATGAAAGGTCAGAAACATCATTAATAAACAGAGATATACAAATCCAAACTATAATATCACCTCACACTAGTCAGGATGACTATTATCAAACAGCCAACAGATATTAAGAGTTATTGGATAAAAAGGAATATTGTGGGTAGGAATTTAAATTCATAAGACATTATGAAAAATAGCATGGAGTTTCCTCAAAAAATTAAAAGTAGCATTATATGATCTAGCAATCTCAGTGTTAGGCAGACATTCAAAGGAAATAAAATCAATATCTTGAAGTTATATTTATACTATTTGTTTGATAATTAAATGGAAAACTTAAAGTGAAAAAGCAAGAAGTTTCCATACATTGGAAGGCAGCTTTAGTTACCATTCTCTGTAGCAGTGGACATAACCAGGGAAAGACACAATGGAAACTAGAAATACCACAATTGACACAAATAGAGAGGGTGTGTTTACATAAAGATTCGTAGAACTGAATAATAGTCTGCAATTCACCATTACTGACAAAATTCCCTTGCATCTATCAAGATATTATTAGACTCACTAATCTTCAAACTATTAAATGTGTTGTCACACAGCTACAAATTCTAAAGTGCTTCTCCCTCTAGTTGTTAGGAGAAATGTTATCTTTAATATGAAATATGTACTAGTTCATATAACAAATCAGAATAAAAAATTAAAAGCTTATGAGGTTACACATCATCACCAAAATTCTTTTTCTCTTAGATGTATAGGAAAAATCTACATTATGAAACAAAAATGACAATTTCACCTTTAGTTCCTCTTAGATATACCAAATTCATTAACACATTCTTTCTTTGTTCTCATAACAACCATGGAAAAAATTCATTTCTCCTTTCCATTTCTTCCATTGTACTGTATAAGCATATGGTAGTTTGCATTATTAAAAACCACTAAAAAAATTTGGTAGATTCTTAGCTGGAAGGACTGTTCATAAAAATTAATAGACATTATGTATTCTGGATTGCATTACTGTCATGATATATTAACACTTTTGTTGCTTTTCAGGGATATGGACCTTATTTAACTCTTAGTTTTATTTTTAAAAGTGCCTAACACAGAAATTGATACCCAATGTACATTTTAAAATCTTTGTTGAACTAAACAGGAGCAAACTGCATTGTACTAATCAGTGTAATATTTTGGATTCATTGTAATTATTCCTGCCTCCCTCTCTCCCTCCCTCCCTGTCTCTTTCTTTTTTCTGAACTATAGAGACTAAAAAGAAGCTATGTGTCCACTTTTCCAGACTTAAAAAAGCCTGAAAATGGAGACAGTTCTAGTCAATAAGAAAGTAAAAAAAATCTAAAAATTTCTTCATTATTATCAAGTTGCATAAGAATTCTTCCTAAAGAACAGGAAACATGTCTCTCCAATCCTGAGGTATACAAGTTTCAAGTAATGCAGTTGAAGAAGTGGGAGACAGGAAACATGCATTTCAGAGCAAGTGTGGTATGCAAAGTCTAACGTGTCACCTTGCTGCTGCACTGGTGATGATCTTCAGGCTTCCAGGATTCCGGATAAGCTTGTCCAGAATGCTGACGATCTGCTCGAACTTGGGCCTATTGTTTCTGTCTTTCTGCCAGCAGTCCAGCATCAGTTGATACAAGGCAGCTGGGCAGTCCATAGGGGGTGGCAGGCGGTAGCCTTCATCCACAGCTTTAATTACCTATACAAGAAGCAGAGTTTCTAGGGACTTAAGACATGAGACACATTTTCTCATTCAGACTGATACAAAATGTTCCAAAATTCAATACAAAATTGTCATTTTAAAGTGATAAAAAGGATAATAGCTGTTTGAACAAATAAACTTCATATCTGAAAATATATAAAGAAAGATAGAAAGTAAATTTTGGAAAGAAGTGCTTATAAAGATCCTTTTCAGATAAAATGTAAATAAATGATATAGATTTGTTATAAAGAAATTATTTGGTTACCTGAATTACTATGGAAATCTTATATGAATGCATGCAAAGAAAACTAGAGTACAGATTTTAGCTTTATCACAGTTCAAATGGTCTTTTTCAAATCACAGTAATGTTCTTTGGTAAAAGCCTATGTGCTACACAATTCAGTAGCTATTAGTTTATTAGTATTTTAAAACACATAAGGCAGTAATTTTTAAACTCTAATGTATAACAGAAACATCTGGAGGACTTATAAATATACAGAGCACTCAATCACTGCATTTCTGATTCCTTTGTGCTCCTAACAAATTCCCAGACCCTGTAAAAGTTGCCTGTTCAAAGACCGTGCTTTGTGTACTTCTGCTATATAGACAATTTAACTTGGGGGGGTGTGAAAATTGAGTATGATTGTCCTAGTATTATTGTAAAAAAAAACCTCACTTGAGGAAGTACAGAATGTTTTGTTGATCAAATACATTAGAAGCAGTTTTATAAATGGAATGACTAAAAGCATCTCAACTTGCCTTCTTAATATATCTTTGGGATCATGCTCAAAGTTTCTGACTAAGCAAAAATGAAAAGTACTGATCTCATATACCAATAGTATCTTTTTACTAATCATTAGCAACGCATAAACTATAAAACAAACTACCTTTTGAAAAATAATATTATAATACAAACTGTTAAAGATTATTTCTCCCTTTAGAGACTTCAATTTGCATAACTAAATCCATATGCAAGTTTAATACAATATTAGAAACAATATTTTAGAGATTGGCTATTTTGTCTTGTTTTTGAAATACTAAATTTAAGTCAGTAAAATGTTGGAATAGATGCCTTAATTTAATCAAGAAGGAAGGGCACACGTGTTTCTGACATAGAAACAGTTTTGTTGCAAAAACATTTTAAATGCTCCATAGCGTATATTGGTTTTCATACAAGCCACTAATTTTGATTTTTTTCTTGCTACAAATGTTCGTTTTGTCTCAACCTAAACATCTGGTTGAGGGAAATGTGTAACAATATGAAAGCAATTCAATTAATATTCTTGTAAGACTTTGAAAATGTTTCATTTCTTCTAAGCTTCAATGTCACAAAGTAGGAGCCACCTGGTTTCATTATGCTCCACTTCCTCACACAGCTTAATTTTTAAATCTGAACTAATAACTCTTAAACTACAAATCCATACTTACATCCTGATTGGACATCTCCCAGTATGGTCTCTCTCCATACGACATCACTTCCCAGAGAACAATCCCATAACTCCATACATCACTGGCTGATGTGAACTTGCGGTAGGCTATTGCTTCTGGTGATGTCCACCGGATTGGGATCTTTCCTCCCTTTGATTATAAAAATCACATGTACATAAAAGGGTAATGCATACATAGAACAAACACATAATATAATATGAAATCTGGCAGAATTCATCAGAGTATTTCTGTCATGAAATGGAACATAGGCTTCTACTAAAATATTTTGGTGTTCTACTATTTTAAGATCAAGTGGTAACATGCTATTACTTCCAAAGAATCTGAAGCATTTTGAAATCATGAAAGACAAAAATAGAAAACTGCTTGAATAATGAAAGGATATCAACTATGGCACAATACTTAATCATCAATAATAAAACCTATAGTCAATGTGATAAACTGTACCTTAAAAATTGACAGATATCACAAATCAAGCTATATTGATTTAACATAGATTTATGCTTTGACTAAGCAATCATAGATCAGAAAAAAGAATAAAGTAATATTTGTAAATTACTTAGATCATTTCTTGGTACACAAATACAGGTATTCATTAACTAAATTAATTAAAAATAAAAATCTGCCTTAAAATCTCTCTTCACTATTTCAATTATAACTTTTGAATGCTACCAGGACAAAGAAATGATAAATATTTAAGGAATGGATAACAATTACACTAATTTGCTAATTACACATTATGTATATGTACTAGAATTTCACATGGTAATCTAAAAAATGTGTACAGTTATGTATCAATTGAAAATAAAATGTATTATTAGATATAGTAACTACATTCCCAGAACTTACAGTTTAGGGGAGAATAATATTGTATCTCTGTGTTATAGGAGCATTACATATATAAATTCCATGGAATTTGCTCAGTTTCCTAAGTACATTTAATAAAGATATAGCAATTGTCCATCATAAAGTACTACATTAGTCACTTTGGATGAGACCATAATCAATAATATCTTGGCCCTTTTGTTTGGAAAATGTCAGGTAAATACAAATAATTACTTGCTCTTAATAAATAAGAAACAAATAAGTACCTGCGTACATTCCTTTTCAAACTTTACAGTGCATATGAATCATCGAAGACTCATGCCTATAAAAATGGAAATTGTGACTCAGGAGTTCCAGTGTGTAAGTCTTCATTTCTAACAAACTCCAGGTGATGCTGAATTTTCTGGTCCACAGACCTTCCACTAGGCTGCCAGGAAGTAATGGCAGCTGCTATGGATGCTTAGACCCTTCATTTTGACAGGAACAGATTTATGTATGTGGCACTTAATAAAATCTAATGAGAAGGCCAAATGGAATTATTAGAACTACTTTCTCTCCCTTGAAGTACTCAGAGAATTAGCAGAAGTCAAACAAAGCTATATTCATGGGTTAAAGAAAGTGTAATATTTTTAAATCTGTTCAGATACTTTGCTGTGTTCCTAGAGTTACTTTCTGTTTCCTCTCCCTAGAACCTAATTACTGAAAGCAGGAAAAAATGGCACTAGAAACAAAGTAAAAAGAGAAATTTCTTTCCATGCTGAATAGTCTTTATTTATGTAAAAATTAAAATGGTATATGTCACCCTACTAAGTTCCCTTGCTGCAATTAAAATATGAATTTAAAATAATAATAAGCTGATGACAGCCAGGCGATCCTATTTATTTCATTTTACTTCAATTGGGATCAAAATGGAACATACCAAAGTTATTTCATTTTAAGTGCTTCATCATTACTATCCATCGATGAGAGCACTAAATATATTTTAATAAATGATCTTTCTTTAGGAAGGACACAACCACTCCTATGTTCACACTTGGACAGAGAATCCTTTCCAGAGAAGTTCTCCATATAGACATGCTGCTAAGAGGGTTTCTGCATTCCAGAATTCCTTAACAAGACTGTGACTTTGTATGGCGTGTTCTCTATTGCAGCATGTGGTTTCTGATTCAAGTAAATTATTTCCAGAAAGAGTTTCCAATCAGGTGCTATCTGTTTGCTTTCACTTGTGTGTATCTTATTACAAGGTTGTTTAAAATTCATACAAGTGGGAAATATGTTCAGAAAAATTGTATGATAAATTATTTTAATGAAAACATCTATTTTTTGCAACCTTTTCTTTTGCTTACATGTTTTATAACTGTTGCAACCTGCCAAATTCACACTCACATACAGACACAAAAAATTATTAGAACAACTTCAAATGTTTTAATATAACAATTTCTTAGCTCTAGGAATGCAGTAATAATCATAGACTCAAGACCCTTCCTTATCTAGGCATGTTGAAAATAATGCCATCTATCACCTACAGAATTGGAAAGAGAGTTAAAATGAATGAGAATTATTAGTTATTATTTAGGGGATTTTTGTCATTGATAATAGACTTGAATTTTAAAGTAACTAATAAAATACTGTATCCTTAGTAGCTCAATAAGCCCTTTCTTCTCTTTTGGGTCATTTCAATTGGTTAACACATTTTTAAGACTGATATAACTTATCAAATCAGAATATAAGGGAAAATTCACTGTTAACTACAAAGTACTATTCAAAGTTACCAGTTGTTGCTAAAAGTAAATCTGACTAAAAAGAATTGGGTAAACATCAAGTCATTGTAGCTTTAAACAAAAGCAAAATAAACTAACATTGTACACCCTTAATTTGAAATTAAAACAAAAACCAGGAGAGATTTAAAATCCACAAAATGATTATGGAGTTTAAGGAAAGGTGAGTGTGTTTTTTATCACAAATTCACCATTATAGTTTCAAACTCTTAAGTTGTACACTAGTCCAATTTAATGAATTCTAGTAGTAGGTCTTGTCAAATCCACTGATGTAAGCAAAATTAGTGTTCCCAATCATATGTCTGTGGAAAGCTCAATTTATTAAAAGCTGAAGATAACGAGCCTACCTCATAGACTGTGCTCACTACCAAAAATCGCTGGTTTGTATTCAAAAGTGACATGTGTATTTAAAAGTAATTGTACTTAAAAGTGACATTGTACAAGCAACTGAGCCTTTTGTCAATAGTCAGTGAGGAACTGAGTTACCTACCCTGCCAACAGCTTTGTGAGTGAGCCCCATCTGAAAAGAACCACCTACTCTAGTCAAGCCTTCGGATGATTACACCCCAAGGGAACCCAGCTGCCGTGTTACATGGTCAACTCAAACAGCCCTAAAGAAAAACGCCATATGATGAAGAACTGAGGCCTACTCCCAACCATGAGCAAGGAAGAAAGGCCTTCATAGAAGATCTTAAAAATGGATCCTGCAGCTCCAGTTTAGCCAGCAGATGACTGTTCCTCCATCTAGCAGCTTATTGTAAACTCACCTGAGACCCTAAGCTTACATCACCCACTGAGGCCCCTTGTGGTCTGCTGGTCCTTAGGCACTGCATGAGATAATTAATATTTGTTGTTTCAAGCTTAAAAAAAAAAGTAAATGTGTAGAGCAGGTTTCAACGAATGGTCATTGGTGTTCATTGAATCCTCTTTCTCCTAAGTACATGCTGTCTTAAAAACATAGAATTATTTTTTTCTTGGAAGGCTTTTGCCCATCTGATCCTGTTACTGGTAAACTTCTTGCTTCAACATCCTGGTCAAATAGGAATTTGTTAGTAGAACTTTCCCAAATGTTCAGGGATGTTCCATGAATGGAATGGAATCCCTCTGTCTTCCCTGATCTTCCCACTGCTTAAATATCCTTTTTATCTTCATCTTTGCATTCACGCAGTCTAATTGAAGTCTGACTTCTCCTTCCCCTACTTGTGTCTTGTTTGTTGCATAGGAATGTATACATTTCCTTCAGTGAATATGACACTTTAATAGATTTGTGATAATAGATTTTCTGACATTTTTTATAATTTTGAGCACCCTAAAATGTGCAGTTCAGTTTCAGATAATAAACTGCATCTCATTTCTCATGATATATGTAAATATTAAGCAAGAATGAACCAAGTATTACTAAATAAGCATGTAGCATAGCTTCTTTTTTTGCAAGATAAATACTATATTCAGTTGTCATCTTTTACCTCATGCTACAATTTAATAATGCTATTACATGAAAACATTTTATTGACTCCATAGTAGTAACTGTAAGATTTACTAAATATCAATTTTAATTCTCTATAAAACCATATAAAAATTGTCAAATGGTAAACAAATTTAGTATTTAGCTTATTTTTCTTAATGAAAAAAAGTATGTAAATCTAAGAGAAATTTAAGGCAGTGTCCTCTGAGAACATTAAAGGATGGATTTTTTTTTAAGATTCTGAAGGTGTTGTCAAGATTTTCATTTGACTACATAAGCCATACACTTCCTGTATCAACTACTTGAATATTTATAATGTAGGGATGGGTTTTACCAACTTAAAAGCATACAGATATGATTTTTAAAATGTTTATTATATACAGATGGATACTACTCCACTCATTTGTAGAATGAGACTAAGTAAAAATTTAAAGTATAAATTCATAACTACTCACAGGTAAGATTGACATGCTGACTAAAAATATCTGACATATTTAGCTGCTACATGAATGTCTAGTTATGATTTTGTTCCAAAGTCTTAAGTGAAAAATAAAACATCAAAACCAAAGTAGGCACACTTGAAATTTAGAGTATGGGAAAGGGAGAATTAGCAATTCCAAGTGTCAGATCAAAACCAAATTAAAATAATATTTAAATAAGAATAAGTGATTATTATTTGTGTCAAGTGGTTATTATTTGTGTCATTATACTTGTGGTATTCTGAGAGTCAATACTCTAGGAGGGCTGATGGCAAATGGCTAGTATTTGACATTATCTCAAAAATGTTAATGTATTCATCATTGCATCATGCAACTTGCAGTCCCATACAGATAAACTTTAAAAATACCCGAGAGAAACACTTGGCCCCTTACAATCTTTTTTGTCTGCTTGTTTTTACTATTATAATTATATATTTTTTAAAGCAGGTAATTTTCATATTTAAAAAGAAATAAAAAATAGTTCACAGACTATAGCCATGTTTTTATCACTATCAGGCTTAATGTTTGTTGCTTAATATAATGTCATATAGATGATGTAATTAAAAATGTTTTATCATTAGAATA